ATTCTTGTATCCTGTTGCCTTAAAGCCAAATGGTCTCTTAGTAAAGTAGCCCTAAGGCTGTGTCTGCTGAGGAAGGTGTGACTGCCTCTGTGAGTGTAGGTCAGGAAACAAGAGTCAAGTTTCATTCAGAATCCAAGTACAGCTTTAAGATCTGGTGGGTTTAGATACCATACCATGTACCACTATGTGAGTGGTCTAGAAAAGACAGCAATGTAAAGCTGCAGATTAGAAGGTAAACAAACAATGTTTTATGGTAAAACTGCAGTAACATGTCAACCACACATGCAAATGCTGAAAAAATGAAATGCTTATTATTTATGACATAATAATAAATAAATAATAAAACGAGTGCTGTGACAGCCTGATCTGACTGGAAAATTCTAAACAGAAACAACCCATTTAGCAAGTAGTTATAATCAGAATAATTTAGATATATTGAGCACTTTTCTAAACTAACATTACAAAGTGCTTCACAAGCAAAACAGATCAGATTTCTACAAGACAAAAATGAGCAAGTCATAAAGTCAAGTCACCATAAGGCTGTGCAAGTCTAATAACCAGGGTGCTCCAAGGACTAAGGTGCCCCCTTGTGGTAAAAGCGCTGCCTTCACTTCTTTAAATATTACTGAAATGATTTAAAACCAGAACACAATTCTAAATCACACACAGGCTGGTGGACTTAATTATTGATATCACAGCAACATCATCTATGCATCTTTTTTGCTCAAACTGTGAAAATGATTTCTCAAACTTACGTAAAGCAAACATCCACACAGCAGGAGTTGTCTCATCAACTAATGAAAAAGATGAGAGATTAAAACAATGGTGGCCAATACAAGGTTGTGCTACCTGGTAAGGAACAGGACTGCGAACTGCTTACTCTCCTGAATGCTCTGCTTATATTTAATGATGATCCTGTGTCACATGACATTTAGGTCCATCTGTTCGGAGCATCTCTGGGTGGATTCTTGGCTCAGAAGTTTGCCGAGTGTACACACAAGTCTCCTCGAGTGCACTCTCTGATCCTGTGTAATTCGTTCAGTGACACCTCCATCTTTAACCAGACGTGGACATCAAACAGGTTTCTTTTCATGGTCACCTCACACATTCTCGTCTGTAGGCTCACATTCATTATTCATATTTTATTTATGTTCCTCCTCAGTTTCTGGTTGATGCCAGCTTTCTTGCTGAAGAAGATTGTCCTGGGGAACTTTGCTAAAGGACCTGTGGACCCTAAAATGGCAGACGCAATTGACTTCATGGTAGACAGGGTAAGTTAACATGTGTTTGTTCATGAGGGTTTCTGAGATGACTGTTGTTACAATATTGTGTCACTTAGTGGGGAAAAAAAACACCAATGCTTGATTTAATTTTATATTAAGGCATGAAGCAACATATTAGCATTTTTATGCTAAATGCTGTTCAATAATACATGCATTCACAGAGTTCCATGTGAGCTGAGAGCGTTCTGACAGATGCAAATTTTGAACAATTTTCTCTGCCACTGTTTGCTTAATCACTAACACAAAATTAACACTATGGGCATCATTCCATGTCTTAGTCTAACCGATTTGGTCATATGACACAAGCCAAAGCAAGAGGCAATGTCACATGATATGGAACGCTCTACTGGCGTTGACAGTCTGCTTTTAGCCCACAGTGATGATGTTATAGTGTGCTTCAGCTTGCCTACTGGTCGAGAGTGCTGGCCGGTATGCATTAAGCATCACAGGGCACTTTCTTATGGTGGCACTTTGTTATTAAAACTCCGGCAATGGTCTGATACCAACACAGAACTGCCAGTTGTCTGAGTAACCTACTCCTTGGGTCACCTGGTGAAACAATGAGGTTTTACAGCTAATCTGAAATACATTTTCTAACTTGTGCTTCAAGCCTGCTTCAACTGGAATATTAGTTTCTTGCCCGTCATTGTGCTTATAACCACAACACCTACTGTAGCTCTGCCTATCCCTAGAGGAAAGGTGACGTTTGAACAATAGATCGAGTTAATATCTATCTAATATCACAGCTGTCTGAGGAGATGATGCCTTACTTCTGTTTGCTGCTATTGTGGCTCACAACTGTTTAGAATAGAATAGAAGAATAGCACTTTATTGATCCCTTTGGTGGAAACCTCAGGGAAATTGTTGAATGTTTATGTGTTACCTGTGATGGCAGTGCGCTTTTTCACAGCACTGTGTATATCTGCACTTAAGTCAAGTAAGCCTGAGCAGAGCACAATGCTGCAGTCGTCTGACACACGAGAGACTGTTTACTCAGAACTGGCTAGAGTACTTATCAAAACTTGGAGCCTGACAAGAAGAATCGGACAATAGCAGACTACATTTAGTTTTCTGACAGGCTGGAGCCTATCCCAGCTGACTTAGGGCGAAGGCAAGGGACACCCTGGACAGGTCACCGGTCTATCAGCGGGCTAGAGAGACAAACAAGCACATTCACATTCACACCTATAGACAACACAGAATCACCAATGAACCTCAGCATGTTTTTGTACTGTGGGAGGAAGCCGGAGAACCCAGAGAGAATCCAAACTGCGCAGGGAGAACATGCAAACTCCACACAGGCGTTCTACCTGGGACATGAACCAGGGATCTTGTAGCGGTGAGGCGACGGTGCTAACCACTGAGCCCTTCTAGCGCTTACAGAGAAACATTATTTTTCTGTAAGGTGACTCTAAACAAAAGAAATTAAATAATATGTGACCCCAGAGAGATGAGAACCCACAAACCTGTGACAATTAACAGCTGTACTATTCAGCAGGCGCACGCCTACAAATTCCAAATAGACATATGTTCTGTCTGTTGTTGAACAGAAGTGAATTTTGCACCACTGCACAAAGCAAATTGCCCTTTCAAGACTATAAATTATATCTTATCTTATCCTTTTTGAAATTGGCAACCAATAATAATAATAATTTTTAAAAAAGACAAATGAAGTCAAGTCAGAACTGAAAACCTCACATTCTGTTTGATTTGTGCTATGTACCCTGTTCTGTAAAAAAAGTCTGTGTCACACATATGCAGGTTTGGGCCACTTCTGTCTGAACATGGCCATAGTGACAACTTTAGAAATCTGCACAGGGATACATACATTTTATGATGTAGACTTCTATCTCAATTCTAACAAACTTGGCTTTTTGAGGAAGTGATAGTCCTAAGTTGGCTTTTTCCCCCTTGTCTCTAAGCTTTATGCTAAGCTAGGCTAACCATGTTCAGACTTTAACAGCAGAGTAAAAGTAATTTTGTTATGTCTTTTCAGTTCATGTTTAAATATTCACGTACCCCTTCCATGTGTTATCTATGCTGCAGTTGGAGACTCTGAACCAAAGTGAGTTAGCATCACGACTAACGCTCAACTGTCAGAACTCTTATGTGGAACCGCACAAAATCAAAGAGGTAGCTGTGACCATTATAGATGTAAGTGTTAAACCAACTATCCCATCAAGTGTACATCAATCAATTCATCTCTGTTCCTGCTACAGTCACTAGAATGACATGTTTTCTTTTGATGTTGAGGTGTTTGATCAGAGTGCTCTGTCGCTGGAGGCCAAGGAGGAGATGTATAAACTGTATCCTAATGCTAGAAGAGCTCATCTGAAAACAGGAGGAAACTTCCCGTACCTGTGCAGAAGTGCTGAGGTCAACCTTTACATACAGGTATGCTCTGATTTATCATTTACTAACAAACAATGTTGGGAATACATTATCCCCTGCAACCTGAACAGGGACACATGCTGATATGCTTTGTCAGACAACAGATATTACAATGCAATTAACTCAGTGTATCTAAAAACACATCAGTCTGGCTGGTTAGGGCATAGGTCTGGGTGATAAAATGATAACGATATCTATTGATCAACAGCGATTTGATAGAGTGTTGGCTACTTTGATTTAGATGCAATTTCAGATGCACATTCAGTTGCATAAACAAACACCAAGCTGCTCCATCCTTGCCTCAGAAACAGCCAATGATATCGCTGAGTACGCTGCGAGTGACACGCAAGCATCTCGTCATTTAACAAGTGTTCAACTGCACTATCAGCATACAACAACAGAGGCAGAGTGAGAAAATAAGTGCAGACAGAGAGGAAAGTTTGCAGCTTTGCCACACACCTGCAGCTTGATGCAACACACAGAAACTCTGAAGCTACAAACATATAAACAGCCCATTTTGAACAGGGCTTAAACCAAGGATTATACATTTATAGTAAAATGAATGATCTTTGCAGTATTTTGAACTGAAAATAGAAAGACATCATCTGGGGACATGTGAGACTTTCATTAATTTCTTGAAAAGGGGCACAATATGGAAATTTTACATCAGTCTAAAACTAAAATCAAAAACACAATAAAATGGAGAAAAAATAAAGGGACTGTATGTTAATGTTATCATGTTTCCATCTACGTCACATCAGCAAAGACATTTCTGACGTATTACACACGTCAGATTTAACACTGAGTTGGTAAAATATGTAAAAAGTAGGAAAAGTATCTGTTCACACAAAAAAGACTTTACACATTCTCTTTCAAACACATGGATGTGGTTCTGAATGTGATTCAATCTACAACAGGAGCCGCCAGTACACTGAAAAAAATGGGAGCTCATTGTGGGCACAGTTATTTCTGGGATGGGGTGAAATTTACCTACATGTATTCTTAATGGAATTCAAATCATTGGCAAGAAGAGGTAATGTTAAAATCAACCCACCTCCCCTATAGATAAATTGTGTTTGACTGGGGCTTTAAATTAAGGGAAGATTATGGGTGAAAATAATGTTTTTGGGTTTTTTTTTTTTATATAATGTTCCTTCTTGTTTATACACAGATTCACCTCCGTCAGTTCCATGGGACAAGATATGCTGCCATAAGTCCTGCCATGGTGAGCACAGAGGAGTTGGAGGTGCAGGAGAGTCACCTGAGCAGTAACCAGGATTCTGAAGGCAACCAAGGAGATGACATTTAGTTGCAAGCTGTCTGTTCTAATCATTTCAATAGTTTCTGTATTTCTTCTTGAACTCATTTCACAGGACTTTCTAAAGATTTTTTATGAAGCTTAACAGTCAGTCAGCAAGCCAACTGAGAATAATTTTTTGAAAGATGAAGCAATATTTTGATAATGACCTGTATACAAATGGTACTTTGCCGCTTTGCTTTACAAACATACAACACCTTGCCTTATGTAGAATGAATTGTTGCACTCATAAACTGCCTGGACTGTGTTCATGTCTGTGTATAATATAAATTGTGGTTAACAATGCCAGCAGTTAACTGAAGTCTTGTTGACAAAGATGGACACACTTGGTATACAGGCATATATCTAAAAGTGTTTGTGTAATTCACTGAGATAAAATTAATTTTGTTTGTTTTAAAATACAGTCATATTTTTGAATTTCACATGTTGTGCAGTTGTACAGTATGTCACAGTGGTGAGCTGTAAAATGAACCACAGGTCCCCTGACCACTTAAGGTTGCGTTTATGGGTATATGGTGCAAGTAACATGTGAGCAATTGCACCATTAGTGTAGACAGCTGAAAGGACAAGAAATGTTTTCTGTGGAGAAATCACATAGGAATGTCCTCAAGTTCCTTCTGGAATATTCCACGATGTTCCCAAGTCAAATGAGGTATAATGTGGGTTCTGGGTTTACCTGCAAAGATTTTTAACATGACCTGCTTGGATTTCCTGTCTCCAGCACCCCCAAGACATACAGACCCTTTGCAAAAAATTAGAATGTCATGGAAAAGTTGTTTTATTTCCATAATTCCA